AACTTGAACGCCCCCTTAAGGAGACAGAGTGTTACACACTTCTCTGCTCCTCCATTTCAGCATTTATGAAACTGCATAGTGACAGTATAAATAAACTCCTGTTTGTTGTTGTTCATATTCACTACAGTGAATCACACCTGACTGATTAAAGGAACAATCTGATGATATTCTAAATTGTTTCAACAAATTTCAACAAATCCCATGAAAAGTCCTGTGTGTGATTCACAGCCTGATGTGTCTTCTTCCTCTGAGCCATACAGCTCCATTGTTGTCCAGAAACTATTAAACCCCATCAGTGAGCCTCACTGCTGCACTGGGTCACATGTTCCTCCATCTACATGAACACACACACTGTATTTTATTCTGACTCAGTCCCCCATACGCCGTCCTGCTGCACCAAACACTCACTAGAGCGCCACATGTGGATTCATCCGCCACTGAAAACAGTCCCCAACTAATGCCCTATTGCCTCTTGTTTGTTTGATAGAAACTACAGTGAGCAGCTGTTTTAGGAAATTACAGAGCTTTTAAACATAAAACTTCATATCTGTGTTTTTAAAGATTTACATCTTCAGTAGGAACCAATGGGATCAGAGCTGAGAGCCACAGACAGGAAGTCAGAAAGCATTTAGAGACTAAAGCTGCAGTCACGTTAGGTCATTGTTAGGGGTGTTAATCTATGTGGATGACTCTCGACGTGTCGTCTGACGACTCCACGGTTTGAGACATCGTGGAACAGTTCATTTGAACTTCACTGAACCAGACTGACAGGTTAAAGGCTCAGGAGCTGATTACCTGCTTAGAGCTCTTCTCAGGTCGACTTTTCTGTAAGTGCGCATGTTGCTAAAGTTGGTTTAAGCCCTTTATGAATTCTGGAGCAATTTTTTTGACTGACCTCAGCCTCAATGTGTGTATTGTCACAAACATAACCACTATTTCCTGTTTCAGCCCGTCCACACTCGTATTTTAAATCCAATGGCAGGAAAAAACATGCAGAACAAAGAATCACCTGATGATTATTGAAACACATATTTTACAGAAATTTGTGTGACTGTAATTGTCAGGACCAATTACAGTTTTAGACCCTGGGAGTGAGGACATTATGGCCCTTTAAACACGTGTTTTTAGGGTAAGAATAGAATAAGGTTTTAGTTCGGTGAAGGTTTGGGTCATTTAGTTGTCATGGTTAAGGGTTAGGTGTGTGTGTGTGTGTGTGTGTGTGTGTGTGTTTGTGGTAAAAGCACGTTTTGATCAAGCTTTTGCTGCCACCTGCTGACGGCATGACGTATGACGTCTGCTGCATTTCAAAATAAATGTTGAGTCTAAAATAAAAATGATGTATCTATAAACTACACAAACCTTAAATAAAAAGTATTGAACAAAGCCAGGGCTGAAATGGACAACACAATACATAAATAGTATACACATACAGAAATGATGGCATATATAATGAATATTCAGAATTTAGTGAGAGATGAGACAAACGAGAAGAAATGACATGAAGTCAAATAAAATAATGTTGGTTTGTGTGATTAATGAAATGTAAAATAAGAGAAGAAATGTTCTTAATGAAATTAAATTGTACAATATACTGATAATTTACATTTATAATATCGAATGACATGTATTGTAGAGGAAAATAATGTAAAAATAAAATAAGAAAGCACCAAACCAGTGTTTTTGTAGACTTTACTGTGACTGCTGCTGTGACGTAATATACAAACTGGGGTTAAACACTGGAACATCTTTTTACACCTCTGTGTACTTTCATTCTGTTTGCCTCCTATATATAAAATGTATTCACCACTCCACTGTAAATATTATATTAAATTGTATAAAAATATTAGTCCTCCTGCTGAACATGTTTAAATGTCTAATGCAGGTGTGAATGCACATTAAAGGATGAGTCTGGTGCTATTTTAAGACCAAAACCAAAAACATCTCAGTCTGTCTCTCAATTCTTTATGATTTCCTGTCAGTGGCTCTCAGCCTGGAACCCTTGGTTCTTACTAAAGGCTTTAAATATTTACAAATATAGAGTTTTATTTTAAAAAGGCTCAGTACAGCTGCTCACTGATGTGTTTTTAATAGTTTTTGGACAATTGAGCTGTATTGCTCAAGAAGAGGAAGAAGAGATTTCAGGCTGTGATAACACACAGAACAGGTTGGGAGATACACTCACTCCTGGGTTTAGTCTTTTCTCTAAGAAAATCAGCAGAGTCTGCAGTATGTATGAGTGAAACATGCTAAAAACTCTGCACTCGTCCTTTAAACTCCAAAGCCTGGATCTGCTTTTCTTCTTCTTCTCCTCTTTCATAGCAGCAGGTGACACATTATAACTGTCTCAAAGCTGCGACCCCCTCCTCCTGTGACATCATCCCTCTGAGATGAGCTGACCTCTGACACCTCTGAATACAGAGACCCCCCCCCCCCCCCAACACACACACACAGGGGGGTCTTTCTTTCCTTTGTCACAACACAGTAAATAGCCGGTTGTCTGAATGAAGTCGTCTGCTGCAGGAGAGATGTTTTAATCCTGTAACATGTTTAAACAGAAAACATTCAGCCCAAATGTTAGTTCAACTCTTTTTATGAAGGACATGTTTCAGAATGAGCATGAAGCTGGAGCCAGCTAGCTTAGCACAGCTCAAAGACTGGAAACAGGTGGAAACACCGGGTCTTTCCGAAAGTAACAAAACACCACCTACTTTGTTTGACCATGTAAAGCACTTTGTAACTTTGTTTTGATAAGTGCTACATAAATAAAGTTTATTTGTACTCGCACTTCGAACGCTTAGGTGTGTTTTCACTGGAAGAACTTTCCCAGGGGACCAAGAACCTTATTGAGGAACCAGGAACTAAATTTACTTCCAGGGAGCATAATATTTCATGCTCAGAGGAGAAGTAGTTTCAAATAAATCTGCCATCTGATTGGTGAAGCAAGAGAAGTACTCTGGTATTGGTTTTAGGACGAGGGTCAGACATTTCTTGATGTTTTTCATTGTGTGTTTAGATGTCGGCTTCCCGAATGGAAAACTTAACTTAATAATTGTTTCGGGGCGGTTTTGTTCTAAAGCAGAAATGAATAACCACCGCAGAGAATTCAATCTTCTTCTTCTGCATCTTTTTTCTCTTCATTTGTTCATTGCATCCAACTCAAACACCAGAATGTGCTAGAAACACAAACTGTGATGTCTTGTTCTTTAGTTCCTGAGATGAGTCCATTTAGTATTTATTATATTATTTACTTTTTGGTTGAAAATGGGGCTCAATTATTATTATTATTATCTATATCTTGTTTGTTTAATTTGTACAAAAGCCAAAGAAACTTGTCTGGTGGTTAAGAGCCGCACTACACGGGCTTTAGAAGCACTGGTGGGCAGATCTGTCACCTTTGGACAGAGCCATGCTGGAATTTTCTCCCATTTCCAGTCTTTATGATAATCATCTGTAGCTTCATATTTAATGGACAGACATGATAGTGGTGTCAATCTTCTCATCTAATTTTCTGCAATAAAGTGAATCATTTTACAAAATCTTTAAGTATTTCCTTCAAGATTTACCTGTTTGGGTTAATGTCAGACCCAAGCTCGTCCTTTTCTCTCTGCATTGTTCACATAATTCCTTAAAAACATGATGGCCCCGGGTTTGCTGTGAGGTAATTTGATAAAACACAAATTAAATAAGAATATGCATCATAAAAGGTGGATTAATGGACGCCTGTCTGAAGTAGATTATGACTCACTCACTTTGATAAGAGACTTTATCACTTGACATTGTGCTTTAGTTTAAATTCTCATATTCCAAATCAAAATGATCAGTAATCAAATCACCACAAAGAAATTGCCACAAAGTGAACTTGAGGTTTTGTTGTCCAATTTTCCCAGTCAGTGATCCAGCTTTGACTTTAATCTCAATGAAATCCTCAGGTTAGAAACCGCTCGATTAAATGCTGCTGCTGATTCTGATGTTTATTACTTAGAGAAGAAACGACAGACGGTGAAAAATAAAAAAAGAAGATCACTATAAAATCACTGCAGACATGTAATAAAGACATGTTAAGTTCACAGACTTTGGCTACATTATAGCAGTTTTTTCTAAGAAACATAATCTGCAAATGTACCAAACTCCATTAACCTTTCGAATAGTTTTAGGGAAAAGCATTTTAGTAATAGTGTATTATTCCTAAAACATTACTTTTAATTGCTTACCATTTCTTTCTTTGAGCTTTGTTTTTGAGCCCTTTATTTTTCAGTTATTTAACTGTCCACATTCACCAGAATCTCCCCACAGAAAACACATGATCAATATAGACCCTATGAGTAAGAAATATTATAGAAACATGACATGAAATTGAATCTTGTATTTGTATGTATGAGTAATTCTGACATAATGATTGTAGTGAGTTTATGTCTACATCATAATTATTAATTATTATTGGATATTGGATGATGATTATGAATATCTTGTATTCAGAGTCTCTTTTATTATGTTTCAAATTCTGCAGCACTTTGATGTTGATGATGACAGAAGACGTGTGCATGAAATAAATTATAAACAGCCTGCATAGCTATTGTGCATTTATGATTTAAAAGAATATAATACCTGAACAGAAGGTTAATATTCATATTCCATAGCCTACAGGTTGAAATCAAATCACTCACACCTGCTTCAACTTTTATTCACCATCATAAATATCCAGCTTATTACAAAACAACTCACCGGTCAACATATAAATAGATTTATAAAACTCACGGAAACAGTCGCGAGATAAAAGTGACACTTTTGCAGAAAAACACAACGATAACAACAACAACAACAACAACAACAGCAGGAAAACGTTTGGTTTGATCTGTTTGACCATCAGTTCCACTTCATTCTTTTTCTTTCACGTATTAAACAACAAGCTCTGTAGTTTTAGACGTTTTGCGCGTCGGGAGAGGGGAAAAGCTTTTGTGTGATAAAAATGAAAAACAGCAACTTCTCCAGGTTGTGCCAGATATGAAAGATCTTTTTTTAGGAAATTTCGACATTACAGGAGTAAATGTCCTACAATCTGGATGAAAGGTTGAAAACAGAAACCGACAGGGAAAATTGATAGAATATAAGTACTTGTGCTTCAACTTTAAGATTTAAATTTTCTTGTTTTGTTTTGCCTTGTTTCAAGACACATCCTTTATTATCTTTCTGTGAAATACAGATCCTGATATTTACCAAACTCCATTCAAAAAAGAGCCGATTCTGCGAAGAAAAACAATAATTTTAAGGCGAACACCAGGTTGTAACGTGGACGTCTTATGAATTGTATCCATGAAAGTTTGTCTCGGGCTTCACCAGCTCCAGTGGTACATGTGCGCCAGCTGCTGCACTCCTGCGTGCTGCTGCGGCATCCCGGGGTGCCCCGGGCCATAAGCGGGATGCAGCAGCGGGGAATAGGCACACAGAGGTAGGCTCAGACCGGACCTTAGAGTCGTCTCCAGGTCCCCCGCTATGATTCGGTCGCAGGGCTTCCCGTCCCGCACCAGAACCGGGATGGCGACCCGACGGGCCGGCAGCAGCTGCAGCGCCTCCAAGCTGTGCTCGACCCTGGCCCGCTTCATCTTGTAGCGGTGGTTCTGGAACCAGATCTTCACCTGGTTCGGGGTGAGGCGGATCAGCCCGGCCAGGTGTTCCCTCTCCGGGGCGGAGAGGTAGCGCTGCTGCCGGAAGCGGCGCTCCAGCTCCAAGGTCTGCGCTTTGGAGAAGAGCACCCGCCGCTTCCTGCTGCGGCTCTTCTGCGACGCGCTGCGCGCCGGGTCTCCCTCTGCGTCCGGAGACTCGTCCGTGAAGAGCTCGGGAGATTTGGACTCGGTATGGGCCTCTAAGGACAGACCGTGTACTGCAGGGAGACGAAACAAGTAATCTGATTACTTTCAGCTGGCTACTTGGATTACTCCAAAACACAGTTTGGAACAAGTGATTTATTTAAAACAACAAAAAGACTGAAATGATTGTTCTGCTTTCCAGCGGAAACATATTAACGTTTCCATTGGTGAAGCTAGAACAAACAGCCCCAGCTCAGCATGTTTTTATTTCGTTTCAAACTGTAGCCTGTCTACTTCCGCAGAAATATTCTGAAGCTGCTCTGGAAATCAGCCACATTCAAGGGCATCAAGTGGGGAGCAATGATTCACACGCATGTTGAACTTAAAAATCTGAATGATTGGACAGCTCCCCACTTGATGCCTTCAAAAGAGGCCAAAACTAAACATCGGCAGCAACTGTACTGAGTTTAATAGGCCATGGCCCCGATTTAATAACCGAGAAAACAACAATACAACCTAAAAGCGATAAGGACAAGAAGGAAACTAACTTTCTGGCCAGAAATGAGGACTAAATTATGTCACTTTTATAATTTTAGCAGTAAACCTGAAGATAGATTTAAGATAAAGTAGTTTGAGCTGACTAGGCTACTAATTGTGTTGCCTAATTACGCACAAACAGAGAAGAGTCAGAAATGAGGTCAACATGGACTGATGCATGAATACAAATCATGTGATAAACTAACAGTCAAATTTGTATTTTTAAAATCAAGTCTCCTCACAGGAGAAGTGCAGGTTACCGGATCCGCGGCTCCACCTGCCGAAGCTTCCGCGCTCGCACAAACTCGCATTTTCCGACCCTGAAACCTCCGCAGAGGCCTCCTCGGTCTCGTCTTCCTCGGTCTCCTCGGTCCCGGAGCCGCATCTCGCGTTCGGGTTTGGCAGATCCAGGATGTCCCGCACGGAGAAGCCAGCTTTTATGTTGGTGCCAAAAGACATGACGCCTGGGAAAAGCAGCGACAGAAGAAAAAGCAAAACGTCCCAGGTTTGTGTCCAGGATGGTTCACCCGCTGCAGCCCGTTACAGAGGGACGGACAGCCGAGGGTTTGGGTCCATGAATGCCGTTAAACGGAGCGGGAGCCCGGAGCGGCACGGGCCAACCGGAGAGGAGTTAACAGCATGAAAAATACATGAGGACAGACATTAAGAGAGTGCATGTGTCCTCCGTCCTTTTTAATGACTGGCGTGCACAAAACCAGGCCATTAAAAAGGACGGAGGCGGGTCAAGTGGTTGAGGGTGTGAAGAAAAAAAAAACAGCAGCGCAGAGATGCTGAAGCTTCAGGGAGGAGGAGGAGGAGGAGGAGGATGTTTAATGATGGAGGATTAGAGAGAAATAAGGGATTCATTTACATATTTTAGAGTCACGCCCCGCTTCCAGTTTAAGTCTTCAGTGTGTCTGAATCTCCACATAAAGCTTTTAAAACGCACGATAATTAAAGATAAACAGGCCTATTAGTGTTGTTTCGTCTGTGATATGAGATCTATTAATGCAATATGAAATTGATTTACAAAGCTGAAAAGTATTAATATTTACTGACACGCATTTGTAATAAAATCACAATCAAAAGTTGAATTACTCAAAAAATGAAAAAATAAATAAATGACAAAAAGACACCATTGTATAGCCCTAAATATACGTAAACACACCGACATTTCATTTCGGTGTAATTTTATGACATTAAGTTGAATAAACAATCTCTCTAATTTATTAATATTCATGTTACTTTACTGGACCATAACCAGGATTCTACTCTGGTCTGAAGTCCCCCAAACTCACAGTTAACTCAGTTATACTTTACTTTTATTCTCTAAATGAGAAGAATAAAAGTCCTCATGTCTTTTCTCCAAAATCTCGAAATCTCAAAATATTTATTTTATTCTTGGCATTTGTCATATTTAATCAAAAGGAGTTGAAAAGTCCTAGTTCGTGGATTACATTCATGTTTAATTGTTAGAGTCGAGTCTGCCTTTTAAAAAGCCCAAATTTACATTAAAATCCATAAATCAGTAAACAGCCTCAGTGGCTTCTGCAGCCCTGTGTATTTACATCTTAAAATGCATAAAGACACTATTTCATAATTATAATAAACTTCATACAGATTTTTTTTAACAATTTATTCACAGTGCAGACAGAACTGCCAACATTTAATTTGATCATCACACCGAAGTCAGAAGATTGTTTGAGTGTGTTTGACTGTTTGTTGTGAGGATTAACTCAAGCGGCAGATGAAGAGTCAAAGTGTTTCAACACACCAGCTGAGGGACACGCTGAGACACACAAGATCAATGCACATCTTTATTGTCCCACAAGCTAAATCAGTTTTGCCCCATCAACACAGTTTTTCATTACTAGTTTAGCTCTGATAGATACTTAATCAGTGGGCTATGAAATCTGCCCTTTTTCACAGAAGACATTTTGACGTATCACAGCAGAAAAAACACAGTCAATAAAAATAATAAAACGAATGATGGCTGAGCTCAATTTAGCTGCTTCACTTTCAGGGTCCTGGTGTTTTGCACGCTGGCTCCACCATTAATATTATTAGCTACACATGTGCTTTTCCTGCCATGACAAGTGAAGATATTTGCTCTTAAAAATTACTATTCTTGCACTTCTTTAACTTCACAATGCTCTTATTATTGTGTCCTTCCATTTAAAGAGACACTTTTTTCAAAGTCAGGTGTGAAGTGTGTCAGTTTGGTCCAAAAATGATTTAACAAAAACATAATTAATAGTGTGTGTACAGTTATTGGGAGACAGGGATAGTTCCAGGATTTGTTGTTCTGATCTTGTTTTTATAGATGTATAGATGTGTACAGGGTTGTGGGGTTGAGTGAAATAGTATATGAAACAACAAGGAAATTTACACTCATACACAGAACAACAGATTATAAAGAAATACAAATTAAAAGAAATGTATTGTGCACTCTATTAAGTGCTGAAGTATTATTTTACTTGTCTGTTAAAACAACTGAGTTTTAACAATATGACCTGGAGGGACATTCAGCCACAGCTCTGTACAGCTTTGAATTTGTTTTGGGTTTTGGAATTACATTAATTATTATTAATTATTATTAAATACAGTTATCACTAGTGGCATGTCTCGTGTGCACATCAGAACTCAGTGTAAGAAGCTACACAAACAGTCTGGGGTTTTCAATGCATTCATTTTGTTTATAAAATCTAGAAGTGACACCTTTAACCTCTCCTAATCTATAATCTATAAACAACTATAATCAGGTCAGATGATTTATTGTAAATGCTGAAATGCCTGCCAAACCCATGATATTCCCATCAGCCTCAGCTGTTTAGTGCTTCTTAGCAAATGTTAGCATTCTAACAACTAAGATGTGTTAGCATGAAGCTCAAAGCACCACTGCCAAGTCAGTACAGCCACACATAGTTCATGTGTTTCAGGTTTGTGTGTTTTATGATTGTGTGGTTTGTAGTTTACACATCAGATGTGCTGAAGTCGGCTGTAAGTTTATACACAGCAAAAAACAAAAGCCCTTCTTTTCTCTTAAAGTCTCTCAACTTGTGTCAAGAAATGTTCATTTCCTTGATTCTAATGCACAAATCATCCCGACTACTGAAGCAGTGGCTTTAATGCTTTAATGCTAAATGTGACTCAATAGGAAATAGTATAACAGACTTTAGGATTTTAGTTTTTTGGGGGAGCATTTCTTTACATCAGAGTTTGTGTTTGGTTAAGTTGTGGTTTCCACTTTGCTGTGTGGGCGTGTGACAATGAGTAAAGCTTGCAGTGTGTGTGTGTGTGTGTGTGTGTGTGTGTCTGTGTGTCTGTGTCTGTGTGTGTGTGTGTGTGTGGATCCTGCTGGGTGGTCGAACTCTGCAAACAAACACACGACCCGCCGACAGCCACAAAGACCGCACAGCCTCCACATTTATCCCATTTATTCCCCCTGAACACTTTATAATGGCCTGGCTGACACACACACACACACACACACACACACACACACACACACACACACACACACACACACACACAGAGCGCTGTGAATACATGTGAGGCTGCTGGGAGTTGTCATGGTATTCAGACTGCTACCTTCAATAGACTGTCTTCTATATTCATGACCACACACATACACATAAAGCAGTTCCCATTTCCAGCCAGTCAACTACCCTGAGTTGATTTATCCTAAATTTATATGATTAAATAAAACTGAATTAATTTGTAAAACACAAAATCAAATCGATGTTCATTTAAAAAGTTATTTTAAAAAAGTACGTTAGAATAAACAAGATATAATAGAATAAAAAATTATCTAAAAAGTAAAAGTAAAATAAATCGAAAATAAAAAAAAAAAATAAGAAAATATTATAAAACATAAAACACAAAGACTAGTGTAAGGTAGACTAAATTAAAAATAATATACAAACAACAAAAATTGAAATGAAAATAACAAAGGTTCAATTGAAGCCTCATAAACTGGATAATACAAATGAAAAAATAAAAAATAAAAACATATAGATTAATACAATTTATGCAAATACAAAACACTATAAATATAAATCAAAAAAGCTTTATTTACGAGACCCAGGTTCAGTTGTAACCTCATAAGTTTGTTATGTTTATAGTTCTTAAAATCGAAAAGTGTTTTTAATTATGACTTGAATAAATTACGGGCAAATTACAGCCTCCAAAATCATGTAAACCCTGTGTTTCCTGCGTTAGGCCTTAACTTCTTGAATCCTAAAATCATAAAAAGGAAATTACAAATCTTAGTTACGTTTTTATCTGACATTTTTAGAGGAAAAACAACCAACCCCCACTGACTGCAACTTCAAATAGACATTAATGTGTCCAACTGTCAACCTACCTGACCCTCTGTCTCTGAGCTCACACTGCCCCCTGCTGTCAGACCGAGGAACCGCAGCGCAGCCTTCCAGCCACCAGAGAAAAACATTCAGAGGTTTGTAGATAAGCCACTGCAGTTAAATCATAAAACATATTTCATAACCTTTCAATAAACTCATGAAACATTGTGAGAAAAAACAAACAAACAAAATATGACCAGAAATCAGATGTGTTGGCTGATTTTTCCACAATCTTCAAGGTTCACTGAAAGGTTCAGACAGAAGTGTGGTATGTATATAAATAATTAATAAAACATTTTATTTGATGGTGCTTTTCATGATACTTTAGGTCGCCTTACATCATAAAATACAACAAGCACCAATAATACATATGTAGACGAAGGCTATATGTACGTAAATGTATTGTTAATCTAATTTTGTTATTTGAATAGGTTTCACATGTAACTCATATTAAATTTATCTTTTCTTTTCTGTTTAATTTTGTTTATTTTGGGGGGGGTCTTCTATTCTCTAATAATTTCCTAAACATTGTTTGAACAAAAAAAATAAAATAAAAAAATAAATAAATCACACGGTTCTTTCTAGGAAAATTCGCTTGTTTCTCACTTAGAAATTATTTGGTATTTACAGACCTAAAATAAAGTTTTAGGTCACTATCTAAAAATATATTTCACCACATTTAGAGTTAAACCACTGGTTCCCCAAATGTTTTCACATCAAGGACCCCTAAATTGCTTCAAATTAGACCACAGACCACCATCTGATAGGATTTTTGCTTTTAGATGTTTTATTGCAGGAAGTGTATAAAACCCTTGATCAAAATATTTAGACATTCTGCCATTATATTATTTATAGATGGAATTAAAGTGAAAATAAATGATGCCTCTTTTTGGTGGGGACACCCTGTAACCTTCTCAAGGACCCTTGGGGGTCCCAGGACCCCACTTTGAGAACCACTAGACAGCTGAGCTTTCACTGATCATCTCTCCACTGAGAGGTCTTACCCACAAACCAAGAAACTTTTGAGCGTGTCACAATTTATTGTTGCCCATATTTACCCTCAATTTGCATTGCGGTGGGAAAATGTAGTGTTTGGATTCACTAAAAATTCTTAAAAAAGAAACTGAGCTTTCTGGATCTTGCTGCTAACATTAAGCAATATGTTCTTTCAATATCTGAGTGTACAAACCAAAAAGATGACCTCTGTAAGCTTTACGAGA